CCTCACTCCACTTCTCTACTCCCCTTTGCATCTAAACATCTCAGAAGAATTGTTTATACTCACTGCCTCCAATTCCTTTTTTACCATATTTTTCTTCAGCTCACTCTAAGGAGGGTTCCGGTTTCACTCCCACTGCAACATTGAAAGTGAGCTTGCTAAGATAACTGGCCACTTCCCCTTTGCTAAATACAATGATCAATTCTTGGTTCTTAAATGACCTCTCAGCAGCACTGGACACTATTGACCACTCCCTCCTCGTTGGTAAACTGCCTTCTCTTGCCTTCTAAGACACCTCACTCACTGCCTTCAAGGAGCTCATCTGGCCATACGGCTTTGATTTCCCTCTCTATACCAACAGTTCCACATTTGTGTCTCCAGCACAGTTCTCTCGCCTGAGCTCCGGTTTATGTTTCTGACAGCTTACTTGCTTTTCCTACTTAGACATCCAATAGATATTTCAAACTTAAGTCCAAAACCAAACTCCTATTTCCTCCTAAACCTGTGCAACCCACAAAGCTATCCCCCCTCTCAGTAAATGGAACCCCATCTTTCCAAGTGCTTGGGCTAAAAGCCTTGACTCTTTTCTTTCTCTGACAACCTACACTGAAACGGTCAGGAAATCCTGTTGGCTCTACCTTCTGAATATCCACCTCCAGTGCTGCACCTTGGTTCCATCCACCACCGTCTATCTCCTGGTTTAATTTGTTAACCACTTAACTAGTCTAAGTGCTTTCACTCCTGTTCCATCTGTCCCCACAGTGTATTCTCAATGCAGCTAAAGCGATTCTTTAAACATGTAAGTCTATCAGCTCACTCCTTTCCCCAAACCTTGTGATGGCTCCCCATTTTACTCAGAGTGCAGCGGTTTGCAAGGTTGCAGCATGACTTGCATCCCCTACCCACCGATGCCACTCACTCGGGAAGCGTCCCCTGACAACCACAACGAAAATTGAACACCCTTCCTACTCCCATTCTCCTGTCCTTGCTTTATTATTTTTCTTTGAGCACTCATCTTTTACTTACTCGATATATTTTTTGTCTGATATCTCTCTCTCTTCTAGAATATAAGCCCTTTATGGACAAGATTTTACCCGGCTTGCTCAGTGATGTATCCCATGTTTTTAGAATTGGGTCTGGTACACAGTAGGTACTCAATAAATGTGTTTTGATGAGTGAATGAGTTTATGAAAGACATCTAATCAGTATAAACTCAGGAAAATATTTCCCTGAGATTTTTTTTGATGTCATTATGTTCTCCAAGTATTTGTTAGTTGAGAAAAGACATTTATATTCATAGCCTCCAAATCCAGACCTTGTACTAAAACAGCACCTAGTGGTTTATGTGGCAAACTGAGAAACTCATTGGAAAGTACTACCTTTTTGCTCGTCTGTTAACAAACAAGAAAAGGCAAACAATGAGTTAACAAACAAAATTGCAAAGTAATAGTTCCAAAGTCCTAAATTTTATTCTTATTAAGGAAAATATTTAAGCAAAGTAACACAATAATGAAAAGAATAATTTAGAGTAGATTAAACATTCACTTCCTCATATTACTTTAAAATTGTCATTATATAGTAAAACTATGATGTATTCTAATCTGTCTCAAAGAAAAGGCTTAAGTGAAATGAAAACTCATAGCTGTGACATAAAATAGCAAGTGGGAATTTTAATTACAGTTTTGCAAATGTGAAGTTGAAATAACACAAAAATCCTGAGAAAAAGCACCATAGCGGGAATTATTAGGCAATATTTTAAAACAATGCAAAACAAAACCAGTTCCCAAAGCAAACTGATTTTATGGTCATTTCTTTGAAAAGAGGAAGGAAGAGGAATTGCCCTTTCCAAATGGTGAGTTGAACATTTAGAAGTCCAAGGGAATTCACTCAGGATGTCTCCTCAGAGGCCTTATGTGTGGGAAGAGGAGGTGAGCACAGCCAGGAACCCGCACCATCAAGATGAGGCTGAGCAGTGCTTGAGCTGCAGAGGAATGCAAAGCACAGGAAGAGAGGCCAGCCTTCGGGGTTTTCTTGCTCAGGGGTGACATTCTGGCATTCTGGGTTTGAAAGATTACTGTGTCTGAGTGCTGTCTGCAACTTCTGACAGCTCTTCCAAACGGTGTGTCCCGGGATGAATTGAAAAGAGGTTGAGACCGAGACATAGTAATCATGGGGCTGCATGGCAGCTCGGTCTCAATGTGAGCTGCTCTTTGGACAAGGTAGACGAGTAAGAAGAGGCAACGGTCCCATCTCCCATTCCTGATCATTCTGGAAGTTGGTGCCCTTGCTCAGCCCAGGCAGAGAACCTGAACCAAAGGAGAGCTAAGGCCATGAGTCTGAATTTAAATCTAAATCTGAATACATGAGACTAGGTGACCAGGTACCTTTCCTTCCTGAGATTCTGTGATATCCCCTTGAAATTTATCTCTAACATATTAATAGATAGTTCCTCTTGCAACCTTCCTTGTTAATGTTTGCCTCATCTCCTAAAATCTCCACTCTTTTCTCTCTTGCTAGTGGAGCAAAAGAGTTTCATGAGCTATGTTCTTCTCCCTTCTCTTTTGTGTGATCCGTGGGTGACCATCTGTAGACCCAAAACCCAAGTGGGCTTTTACTGCAGAGGGTTTTCTAAAAAAAAATTCTGTCCTTGTAGTGGTTCTAATACTGTTTCCAATATCTGCTGACCTCTGTGTGACAATTACACGCTTCCAACCAGGGACTGCAGGCTTATCTGTATGACTGGTTTTGGCCAATGAAACATAACTGACATGTACCACTTCTAAGGATGAGCCTTACGAGCCATTGTGGGTTCTCATCATTTATCCTTCCTCTCTTCCTGGGAAATGGTAATGTGCCTGATTAGAGCTGCTGTTTCAGTCTGTATCTTGGAATGATGAAAGTGTGGAACAGGGTTTCAACCAGCAGGGCAGGTCGGTGATCCTAGGGCAATGGGAACTGAGAGAGGAGACTCACACCTCCTGTTCTTCTGAGATGACATATACCATGAGCAAGAAATCAGCCTCCGCTGTTAAGTTCGAAGATGTTTATATCACAGTGTAACCCGCTGAGAAAGCCCACTAGTACAGCCTCCATTAGCAGTCTGTGTTTCCTTGACGCCTTGACGCCACACACTATGGGCTCTGTTCTGGGATATATGCTGCCCACAACTGTTCTCACTGAATTGGAGCTGCTTAACTTGGACCTATCATTTTGTTTGGTATCCACTCAGTCCCAAAAGATGAGCTCAAGTGTGAGATGGCTGGCTCTCCCCAAGTTCTTTAGGATAGGACAACAGGAAATCTACAACCTTGTAGATTTTCTGTTGGTGCACACAATAGAATGATCATACAACCTGACCCTTAATAACAAATAGTTGGTACACTACTCAGACACAGCAGGCCCATAAGTGTCTAGCTATCCAAGATTACATATGGGGTTGCGAGCTTCAGGACCCACAATTGCTTTCTTAGACATGTATAAATAAAGTGAGCAGTGATTTGCTCAAAATGGGGCCATTTCCAGAACTTCTTGAACTCTAGCTGCTGACTTGGTGGCCATTTGAGTACTGTGGCGTCCTTAATTTGGAGAGCAGCATTGGCAGTAGCTGCACTAAAATATGATCTGGCTCCAAGAAGAAACCCCCAGAAGGCTCATCCAAAGGTCCTTGTCTCATGAAGGAACTGTTTTCTTTATGCCCATCTTTTGTTTTCTCACTGCCTGCCAACCTGTCCTGTTCACCCTCCTGAATCTGACCCAGTCTTTAAGACTTGCCTCTACCACTTTTCAAGACAATCGTATAGATTGTGCCAAGTGCCGGAGTGATAGAATTTAGCATTTTGGTGCCAGGGGCGTGGCTAAACCCTAAGGTAACTGTCTCGTGAGTGCTCTAGGGCTAGGGTGTGCCAAGGAGGCAAGTGGGCACTGAGAAGTTTCCAGAGGCAAATCAGGATGAGAAGCCACTGGAAATGGAACTGGGCCTCAGGAAGCCAACAGTGACATGAAGCTGTAGACAGGAGACCGAGTCATTGAAGCAAAGAATGAAAGAATGGTGAGAGCAGGTGCGAAGTGGGTGAGGTGTGCAGTTGAGATACCAGGTCTGCACACACTGGGAATGAGGCAGATCAATCCTTGTGTGGAGCCTAGAGGTGTGGCAGCCCCTCCAAGGGTCTTTCATTACTACTTAGTCCTCACTGAAAGCCCCCTAGTGGAAGCAGAAGGGCGAACACCAAGCCACTGGACCAAACCCTCCTGATCTGCCCTCCCTTGTGAGACAGTGTTCTGAGGCCAAGCCAGGAAGCCACCTGTGGGTGTCCATCAAGCAAGGGCAGCCAGGAAGAAGGAGAGAGGTCACAGGCTGGGAGTGGAGGATGGGGTTGGGGCTGGAGGAGCAGAGAAACAAAGGACAAAAGCAGGAAGAGGTGTGGGACTGGTGAGATGAGAAGGGGGGTGGGCTGTTCAGAGAACAGGCAACGTAGAACAAAGTGTGGGTGCAGAGTGAGGTCAGGAACAACTCACAAAAGGGGTACGAACAGCTATTTGATGTTTAAACATTAGGATAATTCTCTTGGTTGCAGGGATGGGTAGAACTCAAAGAGTCAAGCTCTGATACCCTCCTCCTACTGCTCTGAACCATTAACTACAAGATATGGCAGATATTGTTTGTGTCACCCCTAGTCTTTTGTCTGTGTTTCTTTTGACTCTCTTAGGCGGGTTCTAGACTCTGTCCTAGTTTTCTTCTGTCTCTCCCATTGCCTTGTGCAGTGATGAACCCGTGATTATGAACTGATGCATTAATGCCTGCCATCATCGATCCTTTCATTATTTGTTCTCCTTGCCATTTCCAGACGTGTGTATTCAAGAAGAATTCATTTTCATATGTTATAAATAATATCATTTATTGAGTACATATTAATGGAGAGTCCAGCATTGCGCTGGTTACTGAAACACTTATCAATAAACCACACTCCCAGTTCTTGACCAGCTCACAGTCTGGTGGGAAGAGACAGAAATGCAAACAAAAATTATCCACCACCTGGTGTATCAGGGGAGGCTTCATAGAAGAAATACGTTTTTTAAGATTTTGTTTATTTATTTATTTTTAGAGAGATGGGAAGGGAGGGAAAAAGAGAGGAGAAACATCGATGTGTTGTTTCCTCTCGAGTGCCCACAACTGGGGACCCGGCCTGCAACCCAGGCATGTGCCCCAACCAGGAATCGAACCGGCGACTCTCCAGTTCACAGGCTGCATGCATTCAATCCACTGAGCCACACCAGTCAGGGCAGAAGAAATATTTTTGCTGGGTCCCAAAGGATGAATAGAAGTTTACTTGGTGGAGAGGGCAGCAAACACCCTAAAGGCAGAGGGACTGGTAGGAGCGCAAGCACAGAGCTGGAGTCTGCATCTCCATGACTTGCGGCAGCCGTGGGACAAGGGACAAGGCCTCTTCTGTACCTCAGTTCAATGAGCCTTTGAATAAGGACAAATACACAATTTCTGTTTATTCTCCACAGAAAGTGAGAGCCTTGGCTTTATTCTTTTGTCTCACTAGCAAGCACAGAAGTAAAGACCTCAACCAATTGCTTTTTGATGGGCTGTTGACTTTTTAATTTTTCATCAAGAGTCTAAACACAGAATTCTTATCCTTTTTCATTATAATCACTAGACTTGAGTGGCAACTCAGAAAAGGTACTCTTTTTATCTTGTCTGCTTTTGATGAATTCATTAAAGTTCTGTATATCATAAACACTTCACATTCATTTTGACCACAAAATATTTTTTACAATAATAAATTTTAAAATAATTCTTTATTTGCAAATTTGCCCTTTAATTCTCAACATCCTAAAAATCTTTTCATTTATCCAAGATGGTTCAACAGCATTTTATCCAGCTCTGAGTGAGCTCTTTTATCTTCTGTGATATCATGGAATGCTGAAAACTGCATGGATGCCAAAGAATAGTACATTATAACACTAACTCACTTCAGAGAGAGTGGGCTACTTTTCCAGGGAGCAAGTTTTTCCTCTGCTGAAGTTTAAGTATCTCTTTCTCATATCCTCAGACCTCTGATACACCCATGGCAGTTACAGGCTGTATGTGTGTGCTCCTCACTGCATGCAGAGACTTCAGGCCAAAGAGCATGTGTTTTGAGTCCACTAGGTAAAGCCGTGGCCAAACCCCAGTTAAGAATGCAAGTGCAGTGATCAGGCAGGTAATCAGCAGACCTTGGAACCCTCACATGGCTGGGTGTGAGCACCAGGGAGGCTGGGGCTGTGCTTTCATGCCTGAAATGGCTTCCATGATGCTTCTGATTCAAAGTCCAGACGGCAAGTGGCCAGGCCTTGACTGCTTTGACCCTGCCGGGGCCAGTGCTGTAGTTTGTAAGCTGGACTTCTCACCATGCAGAGCAGCTGAGAACCTTTGCCTGGAATCGACTTTGACCCAGGGGAACTCTTGGGCTAGGGCAGATGGATGGCAGATATTTATCATCATCATACCTTATATTCCATAGAAACACTTAAGCTTGTCTAGGTAGACTTTTTGTTGTGGTTGTTGTTGGTGTGTGTGTGTGTGTGTGTGTGTGTGTGAGAGAGAGAGAGAGAGAGAGAGAGAGAGAGAGAGAGAGAGAGTTTTATATCAGATGAACAAAAATCTGAAATCTCACCTCCTCCTCCCACTTGTTCCCATCATTCATACCAGTGGCTGGCTAGAAGCACAGAATCCAGTGCATGAAAGGTGCAGGAGGCAGCTTTTGGCAGCCAGGATTTCCCATCACATGGGGAACTCTTCCCTCCTCCCCCCACCCTGCCCTCTAAACCCTGCGTTCTTTTTCCAAAGCTCTCCACCTTCTTTTAAGTTAACGATAAACCCTGGTGTGCCTTGTTTGTGATGTTTGTGCAGAGGCTGCTGTCCAAAAATAAACTATTGTACAGAGGAGGGGAAAGGCTAGTTTTAAGAGGTGTGCCAGCCAGCCTTGGCCTTCTGTAGCACTTCTTGGTTGCAAATTTTCTTTTTCTCGAAAATGCTAAATAGGACTCATTAAACTCCTCTGGTGTAATTTTTTTAAAAAATAAAGGACAAGTTAAAAATAGCCTAAGCACAAGTCTTAGAGGCAGTGAAAGCAGTGGTTGTCAGGAAGAACTGGTGCTGAGACAGGGAGAGTTTTCACAACTGAAATCCAGAGCCCTGCCAGAGCTGCTGGACCCCAGCAGAAGGGGAAGGCCAGGGTCAGGCCTTGGCGGACAGAGCAGGGCTTCCAAGAATGGTCTCACAATGAGATTCCATCCAGGTTTACTTTTATCAAACCCTTTTAAGCTGTAAGCTGCCACATGGTAGTAAGTCCCTGAGTTTGTGTGCTTAGGATAACAGGGTCTCGGTACTTACTATTTCATGACAGAGTCGAGATGGGAGAATCTGAGGGACTGCCCCATTCTGAGGCAGCAGCTCTTAGAAGACAGATGGCTTGGCTCATCCAGAGCTGAGAAGGCCTTGACTGCTGTTTGCTGAGAGAAAACAGAGAACAAGACAAACAGGTAGTGGCCAGCAAATGAATACAACAGGAAGTGGGATTTTATTCACTTGGCCCTCACTGGTGACTCCCTGTGCTGAGGGCCGAATGCCTGGGTTTGGGTGGATGGATGGCTGACACATTTATCACCATAGTATCTTATGCTCCGTACAAACACTTGAGCTCAGGCAGCAGGAAACGATATGCTGACACCTCCCTCCCCAGGTTTCATGTTTGTGAAAGGAAAGGTGAGGAGAGCCTTGGAGATGAAAATTAGTCATTGGTGAGCACTCTGTCGCCGGAGAGCTTTCACGAGGGTCTGTGCCAGCAGGGAAGCGTTGCTTCTGCACCCAGTATACACAGGTTTGTGTGTCCCTGCCCTTCGGAATGCCAGAGCTCCGGGCTCACTCTCCTGACAACCACCTCCTGGCTCTCTGTGTTGGTGCTGACCACACCAGTTCCCCATGACAGGGCCTCTCCTGCCTGGACTTGGTGTTAATTAGGATTCATAAACATGTGAAATTTTCCTGCCTCTCCTTGCCTCCTGGAGGAACAAGGAGTGAAGTGGGAACAAGTGACTCATTCTGCAGGAGTTAAGGAAGAGCTCCAGCCTCTCCCAAGGTCGTGTCCCTGCTAATCCCCTCTCCAGCCAGGCCACAGGCAGAACACATGGGGTCAATTTAGATCTTGAAAGTGTTGTCTAGCAATGACTCCTGGGGCTTGGGCTCCACCCCTGCCCTCCCTGCTCCAGAGCAATGAGGAGCTAGTGTATGGATGGTGCGTAAGGTGGAGGCAGAGATGAAAGTAGAGGCAGGGATGTGGTAGGAGGATGCATGCCCCAGTTGGCACCCTGACTGGGTGACCAGCGAGGCCTTTCTAACCTTAAGATGCCATGTTTCCCCAGGGATGGGGGTCTGGGGGTGGTGGCTCCTGGGTCTGGGAAGTGGAGTGCAAGGGTTACAGCAGCAGTGGTGACACATTGGGCCCCTTTCCTGCCTCTGGCTTGTGCCAGGGCCTCAGGGACCCAGCCTTCCTCACTTATCTGCTCAACCATCCTCATAGTAGTGCACCCCAAGAGCAAGAATTCTGTGGGCCTGACTTCTTGAGGGCAATAGGAATATTAGAAACCATTTCTGAAGGCTTATTATCTGCCAGCACCATGCTAGGCTTGTCTTTATATGATCTCATGTATTCAGTGGTCAGTCCCAGGTTCAAATTCTGGCTGTGCCGTTTGTTGTTGGGGTTCACGTTAGGCAAGTTACTTAGTCTCTCCGAACCAGTTTCCTCAAATAGTAAAATGTGAATTTTATTAGATAGCTGAAAGGATTAAATAAGTTAATGCATACAACGTGCTTAGCAGTGCTCAGTAATATTAACCACTGCTCTTATATGCCAGTGTGGTTGTTATTGTTGTTGTCATTATTATTATTATTATTATTAGGCCTATTCTACATATGTAGCCAAAACTCCTAGCAGCTCTGGTGTTCATGGCTTCATTGGACTTTAAAGCCTCGCTTTTCCCCATTATGCTGCATTGCTTTTTAAGACTTCTCTTATATTATGTGGCAATTATAAGACTTGGAGTTATTTGAACTCTCCTGAGAGTGAAATAGTGTCATCTCTTTTTTCCTATTAATAATTAAACACATTGGCATATGGATCACAGAATGGTTTCATTTTAAATATCAAGCTCAAGGTGTGTGCTATACACATTTTTGCTTCCCCAGGTCTAGCAGAATGCCCATCACCTGGAAGGCACCCAGGATGTATGTTTTGGGTTGAACTGACTCTAATCTTCAGGGAAAATGAAGCTGGTGAAGTAACTTGGGCTTTACCGTTCACCTTGGCCATCCCCTAGGTGCCCCATCTGACCCTGAGATACCATAATGAAAACAAAACCAAAGTTCCTGCCCCCACAAAGGGATACAGTGAGTACCTAGGCAGTGAGGCTGGAATACAGTCATGAAGGAAACATAGAACGGCATCTGCATGCATCAGAAAGATGTGTGTGCCATGTGTCCTGCTCTGGTGGGAGAGGTGTAGGGTGCCAGGGGGACAGGCAGCAGGAGCGCCTCACCCAGACTCGGGCAGTAAGATCGCCCAGAGCAGCATGTATTGAGTCATGAAGAGTGGCAGCTACACAGGATAGGGGTCCAGAGAGCAAGTTACGTTTTAGGCAGAGAGGGATATGGGAAACTGCCAACCCAATAGGAATGAATAGGTATGAAAAGAAGATAGAGAGCTCCTACTTTTGAGAAATGAAATGTAAAGCAAAGAGGCAACTTAAGAAAATGTCTTAAGTAAGGAACAAATGACAAACTTTGTCAGATGTTGTGATACAGGAGTGTGAATACATTCAAAAGAACACAGCAAGAGGAATTTTGTCAAACAGGTTCACAGACTACCTACATCAGTCACCTGGGATGCTTGTTAAATATGCAGGGACATTACCTCAAGTAATGTCAGGAATCACAAGGTCTGGAGGCAGGGGCTAAGGATTGGCAAGTTCGGCCAGCACCCGGGGTGATTCTGATGCCTAGTAAGGTTTGAGCATCACCGTGAACCAGTGCTTACTGAGCACCTCCTACGGTTCAACAAGCCCCTACCGTCAGGAGTAGAGAGAGTGAGCGGTCTGAGGCCCAGAGGAAAGGCCACACGGACCCTGGGCAGAAAGGCATGGTTGTCTCAGAGATACACACCTTTCAGGGTTGTGAGGTGTGAAAGGTATATACGTGAAAAAGCAAGCTATTCTGAACCAAGCCTATATGAAAACCAGAAACAAAAATGAAAACCGTACACGCGTGCGCACACACACACACCCCATCACCACCACCACCACCTTTTCATAACCCATTGTGTGACTCGTGATGTTTGGTGGCCCCATGACAATTACTGTTGCTGTTTACTGCTTATTTCCTTTCTTGTCTTCTGTTTCCTGGGAGTCTCCGTAGCCATCTTTTTACCGTGCGCCCTCTAGTGTTAGATGCCATAATGACTCACTCAGTCTTGGAATAGAGAAACTTTGATCAAGTTTCCTGATAGCAAAAGAAACTGTCCTTTAAAGCTAATATAGCATACATAAAAATAACATCTTTAATGGGAAGCTACACGTGGGCACAAAAGTAAATGCCATGGGGTTGAAGACTGAACTGAAGACACAAAGGTTTTTCCATCTTGAGGCCCCTTCTATGCCTCCAGAGAAACTGAAAAAAGTTTCCTCAAATGTTTCTCTTATTGATTATTTCACTTGCAAGTTTCTTTATTTTGAAAGAATAAAAATATTACTAAATTGTGAATATCAAGAGTGTTATTTTTGGTGCCAATTCTGTTCTTGGCTAATTGGGTAACCCTGGTTAAGTAACTCTTCTTTGGATCTCAGTTTTGAGACCCGATAGTAAGAAGCTAGGAACATTCCTTGGCCAGTGCAACAGGGAAACTGAGACAGAAGCTGAGCACAATGACCAAGCAATTTATAACCAAGTGCAGATGGTCGCCAGGGAGGAAGGCCCCCAGTACCAGGCAGGGAGCAAAGCAGGGAAAACAAGGACCTCACCCCCAGGGGAACCTTCCCTCCCCTGGCCTTGCCTCCCTGGAAGTTGTGTCTAGACCTCTGTTGTGTTTCAGCTCCAGGCCCAGAAAAGCAGCAAAACCAGATGGGCCACACCAGAACTAATTGCAATGGCTAAGGACCCCTGCCCTGTCACTGACCAGTCAGTGGAGACCATGACCCTGAAAGGGCAAACCTGGAGAACTGATGAATATCCAGCTGAAACCCTCCCCTGAGACCTGCTTTAAGATCCCCATCTTCAAGAAATAGATTAAAGTCTCAAGACAAAGGACCCAGTGCTATGTGCTCTCCCTCTCTATTCACCCCCTCCTTTCTTCACAGGCATGTCTCTCTTGAACTCTGAGGCAGTGGGCAGTTAGCAGCTTGTCCCAGCTTATCCTCTGAACCTGTCACTACAGCCCCTTTTCTCTGACTTCCCAGTGAGTAACACAGCCCAGTGTAATGCTTTGCTGTTGCTGCTTCTATGCTAAACCTTTTCTCACTGCTCTTGGCCGGCTGTCCTCTCTCTTGAGGAAGTACTAATAAAACTCTTACTCATCCACATTTGTCTCACTGATCTGTAAGTCTTTACTGTGTTAGTGAGAAGAACCAAGCTTCCATTAACAGTTTCTGCAAATGTAAAATGAGAGATGTAGACTTCGTGATCACTGAGGTCTCTTCTGCCACATGGTTCTTTGCCTAAGTGGAGAGGCTGTGAAGGGAACGGATGTCACATGGGAGTAGGAGTCAGAGACCTGCATTCTGATCCCTGTTTCAGTATTTACCACTTCTGGGACAGGAGCCAATTGCTTAACCTGTCTGGATATTAGTTTCCTCATCTGTAAAGTGGGAAAAGACCTACTCTGTCTTATTTATGGAGTCATTATGAGACTCAAAAAAATGTTGAACACTAAGTATCATGAAAAAAAAATTCAATGTACTATAATAAAGAACCCTTCTTACTCATCTTTTTGTGAATGTCTTATGGCAGTTAAGGGATTTCTAGTTAGGTATATCTGAGTTTTAATCCCAGTCCCACCAGTTAGTAGCTCCTGTGACTTTAGATAAATCTAATGTTAAATAAATGTATGAAAGCATTTAACACAGTGCCTGGCACATAATAGGAACTCCGTAAATGTTTGCTGTTGTTTTTCTCTAGTCAGTTTTATCACAACACTTAATGGGTAAAGAAGTTAAAAAAGAAAAGTTAAGTGATATTTCATAGGTCACCAAAAACTTTATTCTTAGACAGAATTTTTTATATACCCTGCAAACCATACATCTTTAATTGTAGGAAAGTGCTAACAAGAAAAGCATCAGAAGGCCTCAGACTGTGTAAGAATGGCAAGTTAAGGTCCATGCTAGGTTTAGAGACCTTTCTGGCAATCTACTTAAATAGCCCACTCAGAAATCCAGTATCCTGATACACTTTAGGAGGCCAGTGCTTTTACTGAACTAAGTGGGATTCAGCCACCTGCCACCATACACAAGCACAACACAATAATTGGCGGGGAAGGAAAAATGTTGTTGTTTTTTTTTTTACTAACAGTGTGCCCAATTTGAGAGAGCTGGGGGCTCCCCTGCTCCAAGCTATCCTCTTCTGCAAGACACAGAAATCCCCTTGTTCCCCAAAAGACTGAAATCCAAATCCATGCCCAGAGATCTCCCCTCCATTCTTACCTATCGTCCAAGTTTGCTTGGACATGGATGGGTCTCTGTCTCTCCAGCTTCAGGCTGTCTCTTTCTGGGTTGCACACATGTGGGTTGGTGTCTCCGCAACAGCTTCCTTCCTCTCCAGGGGCTGGGGCACATTGCCGGATCACTGCAGCCATTTGTGCTAGGGCTCTGTCCATGTGGCACTGGCTCCCAAGGCTGTTCGTACACCTGGGGCCAGTAAAATTTCCCCACCCACGTGTCTGTGTGCTGCTCTCAGAGTGAGAGAATGAGAGTGGTCCAGGACCTGTGCACTGTGTAGCATGGGGTCATAGCGTCCTGTGGGCTGCCACCAGCCAGGTGCACATCCTGTGTGAGCTTGCTCTCAACTGTGCAAGCAAGGCAAAGCAAGAGCCATGAGCAGGGCCCAGCATCCACAGGGTCCTACAAACACCCAGTCCCCCCAAGCGGGTGGGACAAGGGGAGCACAAAAAGGCTGAGTTTCTCCACACCCTCCATTTAAAATCTTTTGCCCCCAAATCCTACGTGCTATGGGAATGCGCAACTTCTTAGCAGTTCAGGCTAACATCCATCACACGTGTCAGCCCGCACCGTGTCCTTGTCCCTCACCCAGCTGTCTGTCACAGGCAGGTAGGGAGGAGGGCTTTCTAGCTGTGCAGGGCATGGTGTCTCTCCACAGGGCAGGGTGTCACCCCGTTACAGGTTTGTTGTGACCTTTCCACCCTGCGCAGGCTCTGTGCAAGCTCTGTCCTAAGCTGCAGTTGTCTACCCCTCCACAGGGTATGGAAGCTTGTCGTGCAGTTTTGATTGTGATTTCAATCTGCTGCCTTTGGCACTTCCTGACCCCTCTCGGGCGTCACTCCCCTCTGTCCAGTGATCTGGCCAGACCTCTCTGTTACAGTGCTACATAAACAGGATGATTATTCAAAAACACTCTCAATCTCTGAATTCTCCCAACTTTGTGTCCCCACCCTGAGGAACAGTGCTGCTCCCAGAACTGGCACCAGCTCACCCAGCATAGGCCTGCACATTGTCTCCTTAAAGGGAAGACATTCAGACATTCGGTGGCAGGGTAGACACTCCTTATCATGGGGTCCTTGACCCAGGCTCTGGTCACCATGTTATGCCCTTTACAAAATAGAAACAAAACCCAAAGTAGAAGCCCATGGGAAGACTATAAGGCCACTGTCAGAGCAAAATGCTGTGGGCTTTGGTAGGTACATCTGGGGTCCAGTGAAGACTCTTTAGATAGGTGAATTCTTTTTGATATCCTCAACCATCCCTCTCATCTTGGTTAAAGACATTTGCATAAACAACTGAGGAAAACGCCTCATGGGAGCAAGCTGGCCCCATTTGTCAATGGTTTTCAGAGCCTGAAGGGAAAGTCATCTTCCATGTCAATGAGGCAACTTTATGTCAGCGTTATTTTCCCTCAATTTTGAACAGAACAAGTGTTTTTGGGCTGAGTGACTACAGGGAGAGCCCAGGTTGCAGAACAATACTGTTAAAGAGGCAGCAAGATGGTCACTAAGTAGGTGGAAGTTATGCTCGCCTCCTGCCAGGACCATGTCAGAGTTGCCGCTAATTTACAGAACTATCAGTCTGAATAACCATCTGAGTAGTAGCTGAACAGAAGTTATCCTTATGACTAAGGACAGACAATGATCCCTCAGTGAGACCAGTAGGAAGGGCAAAGATGCAAAAAGGGCTGGCCTTGTACCCACATGGGACAGTTGAAAATCCAGAGGGAGAGCCCTGGCCAGTGTGGCTCGGTTGGTTCCCACAAACTGAAAGGTCACGGGTTCTATTCCTGGTCAGGGCACATGCCTAGGTTACAGGTTCAGTGCTCAGCTGGGCACATGCAAGAGGCAACTGATGGATGTTTCTCCTTCACATCAGTGTTTCTCTCCCTCTCTTTCTCCCTCCCTTGCCCTCTCTCTGAGAGGTCTCAGTCTCATGCCACACTCCCTAACCTGGAGCACCAAAGCCAGGAGGAGGAGCCCACACAATGTCTGGCTGTGAAAGTCAATGGGGATTCTGCCTGACTTTGTGAGAAGGGTGAAATATACTAAACAAAAAAGAAATCAATTGAATTTTTATATGCCAATTATGAACTATCAGAAAAGGAAACTAAGAAGACAATCCCATTTACAATTACATCAAAAATAAATAAATTACCTAAAATTAATTTAAGCAAGGAAGTAAAAGTCCTGTATTCAGAAAATCGTAAGATATTGAAGAAAAAAATTGAGGATACTGATAAATGAAAGCATATATCATGCTTATAGATAGGAAGCAGTAACATCGTTAAAATGTGCATATTACCCAAAGTAATCCATAGATTCAACACAGTTTCTGTCAAAATACTAACAGCTTTTTTTTTCACAGAACTAGAATAAGTAATAAAAATTTTGTATGGAAACACAAAAGACCCTGAATTGCAAGGACAATCTTAGAGAAAAAGAACAAAGTGAGAGATATCATACTACCTGATATCAAAATATGCTACAAGGCTATGGCAATCAAACCAGTATGGTACTGCCCTGGCTGGCATAGCTCTGTGGATTGAGTGCAGGCCTGTGAACCAAAGGGTTGCTGGTTCAATTCCCAGTTAGGGCACATGCCTGGGTTGTGGACCAGGTCCCCTGTAGGGGAGTGCATGAGAGGCAACCACACATTGATGTTTCTCTCCCTCTCTTTCTCCTTCTTTTCCCCTCTCTCTAAAAATAAATAAATAAATAAAATCTTTAAAAAAAACCCCAATATGGTACTGGTATAACAAGAGATACTAATAGAACTGAACAAAGAGCCCAGAAATAAACCCATGCCTATATGGTCAATTAATCTATGATGAAGGAAGCAAGAATATACAATAAGGTAAAGATAGTTTATTTAATAAATGGTATTGGGAAAATTGAAGAGATACATTCAAAGAAATAAATGACCATCTTCTTATACCATACACAAGAATAAACTCAACATGGGTTAAAAACTTAAATGTAAGACCTAATACCATAAAAACCCTAGAAGAAAACATAGGATATAAATCTCTGACATCTCTCTTAGCAATATTTTTTCTGATATATCTCTTTAGGCAAGGGGAATAAAAGAAAAAGATATACAAATGGGGCTGCATCAAACTAAAAAGATATTACACAGCAAGAAAAGCCATCAACAAAATGAAAAGACAACCTACTGAATGGAAGGAGTTATCACCAATGATACATGTGATAAGGGGCTAATACCCAAAATGTATGAAGAACTTATACAACTCAACACCAAAAAACCCCAAACAATTCAATTAACAAACAGGCAGAGGACCTGAATAGACACACCTTCAAAGAGGAAGAGGACATACAGATGGCCAATAGACATAAGAAAAGATGCTCAATGACACTAGTCATCAGGTAAATGCAAATTAAAACCACAATGAGATATCACCTCATACCTGTCAGGAGAGCTATCTTCATAAATAAACAAGTGCTGGCAAGGATGAGGAGAAAAGGAACTCCTCCTGCACAGTTGGTGGGAATACAGACTGGTGCAGCCACTGTGGAAACAGTATGGGAGTTCCTCAGAAAATTAAAAGTGGAACTGCCTTGTGACCCAGTGATTCCATTTCTGGAAATATATCTAAAGAAAACCAAACTACTAATTCGAAAACATATACATGCACCTCTATGTTCCTTGCAGTGTTAATTACAATCACTAATATATGGAAGCAACTGAAGGGCTCATCAGTAGATGAGTGGATAAAAAGTCATACTACTCATGACAGAATAGATATCACTTATGTGTGGAATCTAAAGAACAAAATAAACGAGACAAAAAATAGAAACAGCTTTATGGTACAGAGAACAGACTGATGGATGCCAGAGGGGATAGATGTTGGGGAGGAGGGTGAGAAAAGGTGAAAGGAGTACTAATTGGTAGTTACAAAATAGGCATGCGGACACAAGGTACAGCACAGGGGATATAGTCAACAATAACTATGTATGGTGCCAGGTGGGTACTGGAAACATTGTGGGGAGCACTTTGTAAAGTATGTGACATCAAGGATCATGGTGTACATTCCTCTTAGAATCAGAGTGACCAAATGGAGGTGTTTGTAAGGCTGACACCCCACAAAGTGAGGAAGCAGAAAAGCAATGCTAAGCTTTTCCTGAGTGCTCTCTCTCCACAAAGGGAATCAGGGCTTCACTATATGCTGTCCTAGATAAGTCACTGAATTGGGCCTATCTGCTTTCTGTGGTGCTTATTGCTTTGTTCCCAATGTCCCATGAGATGGGTTGGAGAGGATGGGGACAGAAGATTGTCTCTGAAAGGGACCTCATTCTGCATTTCAAACTCCCTTGTTCATATAATTAGGAAATCAAACACTTTACGGACATTCAGGGCTCACCAAACTCTTATGTCTATGAAATAAGTATTAAGCCCCTTCATAAAAGAACCCACCTTTTCTGCAGAGACAGACTGAAGTCAGAAAATCTAAATTAAAATCCCAGCTCAGTCACTTATGAGTTGTGTGGTTTGGGGCAAATCCTCAAGGGCTGTTTATAAGAGGTAGTATATCCTACCTTCCCTATTGACCTCAAAAAGTGGTTATGAGAATAAAAATTAAAACATGGTAGGGTTTATGCAAAGGCTCTGGAAAATGGAAGGAGTGTGGGTCTGGCCCCTGGTTCAGACACAGCAAATATCTGTGAATTGGCTGTTGCAGGGAGATATGCGTGAGGTCAGGCACAAAGCAAATAAAACCAATGGGGAGATGTTTGGGGTCTGTCTTTGCCTACTCCTCTCAATCATTTATTCTGTCCATATATGCAAATGGCTTTAATTCCCTTCAACCACACTGTCCCCACCAAACAGCCATCCATAAGGGTGCACAGTAGGCAGATTCTCCAGTACTATCACAGTGTCCAGGCTCATCCACATGTGACTGACCACATACTCAGTGGCTCGTTTATAATGCCTCCTAACATCTATTTTCATATACTAGACAGCCAATGCAACTGCCCCTTATGGATCTGAAAGAGAAGAATGACCTCATGGTATTCCTTCTAGGCCACAGCTGGATTAAGGTCGTAATTCTCTAGAATGGAGCTGTTCAAACTTTAATGTGTGTAGAACC